CGCTGGAGGGCCCGCCAGCTAAGCCCGCGCCTTCCACGGGGAAGGTGGCGGCGGAGCGTTTCCTCTGTCATCTGGTGGATCTGGGCGCGCTTCTTGGAGTTTCGCCTCTGTGCACGTCTGCTACCTGTGGTGTGCTTTGTGGCGATGCTGACCATGGTGGGCGGCAGCGAGGCGGATGGGCTGTGTGGTGGTCCCTATGTGGTGACAGCGCGGTTATTGTGCAGGGGTGTGCAGGCTGGCTTTGGTCGGCTGCGTGAGGGTGTTCGTCATGTCTGCTGCGAGTGCAAGCTTTGCCCGTTCGGCGGTGATGACGCCTACGGGTGTCGTTCCCCTTCTTGAAGGCACTGACGTGGTGTTCTTCGACCCACTTCATCCTCGGATCTCGTTCTTCGGGCGAAAGCCTAGACCCATCTAGGTCGGGCAACGATGTCGTGCCAGCGCCGTTTCCCCCTTTGGGGCGTTGCTTTGAAGACCAGTGATCCTACCCCGCGCTTCCCTTGGGTTGGACATGCATGGCATCACGGTTGGCAAGTGCCCAACTGATGATGTGAGTGGTTGGTGTTGCGACTTGTGTGGCGACAACGATGATGGCGTGCAGAGCTGGGTCGCGGTTTGTCCTTCTAATGTCAACGGTCCTGTTCGCCAATGAGTGTGCCTACGCTTGTTTCTCATAGCGACAGAGAAGTCGGAGCTGCGTGTGGCGGGGCCATGCGGCATCGATGACTCCTTGAGGGTGGTTTGAGCGGATGGTGCTCTCCGGAGGTTGCGCTGGGTTAGGTCGGTGTGAGGCATGCAACTTTCTCCTGTGAAGCACATCAACGAAATCGGAGTTGCTGATCCTCGACTCTTCGGTCAATTATTTGGCTTTGGCTGGTGAGGCCGTCATGTGTTGTTTGTTTCGAAGGGGTCTTGACGGGTCGTCTGCGGCGAACTCGGAGTTGCCTGCTCGGGGAAAGGTGATGACGATGACAATACATGCTGTCTCGATGGTGTCCTCTTCTCGGCGGTGTGTGTGGTCTTGTTGTTGCCAGGTCGGCCGGGTGCCCTTTCTTGAGGTCGTGTTGTAACGGTTTTCGCTCGGGTTTCCATAAATTAACAGGACAACTCTATCTAATGAATCGGGCCTAAGGGACCGCATTTCAAAACATTGTTAATGTATTGTGTCTTCATGGTCTACTTAGAAATCATTAATTTACAATTCTACTTGTTGAACAAAAACTATAAAATGAGTTAAAGGCCAGCATCAAACATCTTGCATCAATTCTCGAGCACTCAGTTCACAATATATAGGAACACTAAGGTACTTAGTATAAGCAAGATATTTAGGGCTGAATGTATTTCGAAAATTCTGCTATGAATATGGGAAACATTGGAATTTTGTTGAATAAATGATAGAGCTGAATTAGATAATATATTATGGCCACATGAACATAGAGAAGCTCGGGAACAATTTTTTATGTAGCAGCCTTTAAAAAAATACCCCTTTGTATCAAAATATAAGATGTTTATTGATACTCCCTTTCTATCAAAAAATGTCTTACATTTTGATACAGAGGGAGTAGACTATAACAAGGTTGTGCCTGCAAATAAAATTATTTCAAGGAATTGAAGAGTTGCAAACCTGTGACACTACATGTAAAGAAGGGTGGAAACTTATATGCCAATGCTGCAGAAGACTTGGAGGGGCCTAACTTCCCCTGGTAAGAAAATAACAATGACGATTCTTAAATAAAACAAGACATGAATAGACAACTCCAAATTTAGTACAGATTATATAACTGGAGGAAAACGTTTGAAGGAAGGGAAAACATGTAAGTTATAAATCTCCCACAGGTTGAGTTCTCCTAAATATTGCCACCACGTTGACTACTCGACAAAAATATTTTTCAATGAATTCTTAATTTTACAGGAATTTCAAAATAACTTCAAGTGAAATAGTTCAGTTCCTGCAGGATTCAGTAAGAAATATGTAGTACTCCAAAACAAACCATCAAGACAGGAAATGCTTATGAAGCATTGGTTGCCAGGATACAGTGTCATAAAAGAAAATAACTGAGGTGCAGCTGACCTTTACAAGTAAATCAGTATTGAGCTGCCAACTTGCAGCTACCTGAAACGAGGAATTGCCAACATCGTCTGTTGGTTTGTCTTTATCCACCCTAAAGTTCACACAAGATAGAGTTGTAGTAAACTGAATCAGTCGCAACACTGACAAATGTGTCTTCTTTTACCTTGTGGCCAGCTCAAGTCCAAGATCAATGTAGTTTAAAGTTCCAAAAATATCAGGTTCACCCCGATACTTTAGTTCCTGATGTCATATGCAGACTGTTCGTTAGAATGAAATATCTAAATAATGCAATTTCGTCTTTGAACTCATGAAGGACAAAATTCTTTCTGCTAAGTGTCGCTCCTGTAATTCACCGGGTGGTTATGATTTCTCCTAATTTCGTAATTTTAGAAAGTAATCCCAAATTGGATTTTATTCTGCTAGAATTCCAAACGATGTGATATTTCTTTTAATTGCTCATAATAAAATTTTAATGCATGCATTAAACATTATTATATTCGAAGAAATGAAATATAATATACCCCCAAATTAAATATTATAGCCTATCAAAATGTTTTGCTAAAACCTGTCAAGAAAAATGTTTTCCTAAAAGATCAAATAGAGGACAAATAAACCAGTCACCAAGGGCTAGCAGTATGAACTGCTTGAGTAAATTACTAACTAGGATATAGGAGATATCTTTTAAATCTCGATTCTAGTTGCAGGAGAGAACTCTAGGTATCAAGAAATGAAATGCAATTGCACTTACCTTTCCAGAAATATGGTGCTGATAGAATGATGCAACCAGCTGCACACCAAAGGACACGGAAATGCCATTGTGTGAGAATAATTACTTGTAAATTTTATTGCATATGAAATTTGATGAAGGGAAAACTACATGTAAGATATCAAGGTTCCCCTTTAGCATAAGAACTCTGTTTTGCTGTGATTGATCATTGGTTACAAAGAAGTGCATACTATAGAAGTAAATAACTTATGAAATTTATAAACAGAGAATGGTATAGTTCGATAATTTTTCAGAGAATAATCATGTTCACAATTCAGCAGTATTAATTATTTAAAAATTGGAGCATCTTAATTATATGCATCACTGCATCAGATACACATCATGGCTGGCAGTCTGTTTATAATCCTGTCAAACTATGTAAGCCATTGCAAGCTAACAAACGAATACACATCATGACCAGCACTCTGTTTATAATCTTGTGAAAATACCTAAGCCGTTGCAAGCTAACAAACAATAGGAATCTTTCTTGTATATAATAAGGAATAAATATAACAAACCTGTGAACTTCTAATGAGCTCTAGTGCAAAAGTAAATGAAGGGCTGAGTGGGCTAGTTGAGCCCAGACCATAACCGATTGCAAAATTCCAGTTCTTCAAGTCTGTAAAAGGCATAGGATGCTTGCTTCCACCTGTTGGGATTATATATTTTTAGACACAAGAGAAAATCAAAAATGCTTTCGCCAGTGACACACAATAAAATGCTGCGAAGTGTAAATACAGTGAACATCTATATCCTGATCATCTTTATGTAAGAAAAATCACATGACTCCTAAGAGGAAAATGCTTGTAATAATAAATATATGCCATGTCAGCAGAACATTAAATTTGATGCAGTGCAAATTACAATAACCTATAATTGCAACTAGTTAATACTCCCTCCGTCCCATAATGTAAGACCATAGCTTGCAAATGGTCTTACATTATGGGATGGAGGGAGTACATAGCATGGAATTTATAAAAAGAAAAGGTCTCCAAGTGCACAAACTTGTGGATACATGTACTTGACTAGTTGGCCATTTATTTCTTTAAATTCCTTGAGTATAAAATACACAGTAGGTTCTACTAATATCCTAGTTAAAAATCTACTGTAGATAAAAATCAAGTGATATGACATCATGCTGTTTATTGTTTGCACTTAGCTTCCCAATAAATTATGAACAATACACTATTGTTTTTTTTTACAGCAAAAATGAATTTGCAGCTTATAAACCCTTATAACATAATTAATTTTTTTGTCAAAATCACTCTTGTATGGTATGCACCTTATTTATGGTCCTTTCTAAGTCGAGTAAAACATTGTACACATAAAGCCTCAAAAATGTAAAGGAGCATCTTCCATGTGGACACACAGAAGAGTCTCAAATATTCAAATAAAAAAGGATATGCAAGAGCCTCAAAATCTTTGGCCTAGAATATATTGCTCTGACAAATCAGTGAAAGTTTAGTAACACAAACCTAGTGGTTTGTATTGTACGCCTGCACTTAAATTCCCTTTTCTCCCAGCCAACCATGCATCGTAGGGTACCTCACCAGGCGCTACAAACAAAAGTAATATCAGCATACCATGACATAACTGAATGCAAGTATTACTTTATTAGAGAATAACATAAGAAATAGATTCAAAATTGATACTAATACGTGGAACACAATATTTTGACTCTGTAATTATAATTCAACACTCCAACTGGAACTATAAGTAATAACATACAAGGAAATGGGACGAAGGAGGCCCCAATTGATAGATTCTCTGAACCATATCTTAAACCCATGACGCCATAATCTGCTGAGCATGCTCTGCAAAACAGAAGAATATAATTCGCCATGTTACTAATCATATTTCCAAATCAAGAAAGAGAACATCTCTTGTACTTGGTCATGGAAATGTCTCATCAAGATGTTAGTGGGAAGCTATGTGTACAACTAATCTAAATGGATGATTGACAGCCACAGTCAAGATATACAACCGACCTGTTTGCCATATTCAAAGGGAACGTCCCAAAGGCGCCAATACCATACTTGGGATAGTAAACGCTTGAAGACAGCCGCATTGTACTGGAAAATACAAGTTATAGGCCGAATCAGTACAATTTCTGCACCTTGCATAACAAAATTAGATCAACGGTTCATGACTAACAAGAGATCACTTACGGTTTCAAAGTTGACACAAGTAAGTCCACAAATGTATGGGGGTCGTTCAAATCCCTACAAAAAAAAATATGTCATAACAGGTATGCACTAAAGAATTAGGGAATATAGCAATGGTAAACTATGCAATAAGCACCTCTGCCATCGAAAGTGAGCTTCCCCCCCATTTGTCGACATCTAATGAATTAAGTCAGGAAAAACAACTTCTCTTGCAGGAAAAGAGGCGAGTCCTGAAACAGAGCAGTTACATATATATAGAAAAAACAAAAGGAGCAGTTACATATATATAGAAACTCGTTTTACACCAAGCTTCAACAGCAACCATATATACTACTGAAACACAACCAGATGGTCATGAACCGGACAGAGCCAAATACAAAAAAAAGCGGCAGTCGTATATATTTGCTTGATGGATACAGTGGCATTCAGATGAGCATGAGAATCTCCCAACTGCTTCAACACAATATGCGCGTCCACTCCCCCAGAATGGAAATAGTCATCAAAGAGGCTGCGTCGCGCGAGCTTCCCGAACATGAGCTCATATGCCGGGACCAACATCCTGCATGATTGATTAGGTACTTGAGCGCGCATACACGAATCAAGAGCAACAGATCGCATCTTAACTGCAGAAGGATCACTTTTGGCACACGGTTACCCAAGGAGCATCGTGACACCTATCACATATGCATATATCTACATCTGAAGTTCTGAACTAGCTGGATCGAAATTGGGCACGAGAGCGAATGATCAGTACAGCCCAGAGACTACATAGCTCTTGTTTTCAGTTCGTCAGGGTGTCAATTCTTTCAGTTCGTCAGTCAGCAGCTCTTGTTTGTTTTCTTCAGTTAAAACGAAGCCAAGTGTTAAGTGCGATCAGAATTCAGACGGTCCACAGCGAAGCAGGAGATGTGAATGGCTCAGATGGGCCAAGCGCGAGAAGGAAGCTGCGGTTTGGCTGTTAATTTGCTGTCTTCGGAATTTCAATTCTCAGCTAAACGGGTGTTAAACTGTAAATCGCCGGTTAAACTCAACCCCCAATGATGATGCCAAAACTTAGCTTCTATCTAGTTTCTCTCTAGCCCACTGTTTGTATAGCTTAGAGCATCTCTAGCAGACCCCACCAAATCCCAGTTCACGCAATCCCCAATTTCCCGGCGTTTGCGCTACGAAATCGACATATACACCAGATGCATATTTTTGGGGGAAGGGAGACAATGCACATCATCAGTCGGTGAGGTGGTGTTCCTCCTCTCGGAGTCGCAAGAGATTGGAATTAAGAGGGGGAAGTAATTGATAATCAAAAAAGAATTCTCAAGAAAGAGAGGAGCCGACGGGGAAGACCTGGTGCGGGCGGCCAAGGGAGGGAAGTCGAAGACGGGCGGCACTAGCACCTGCGGCTCCGGCTCCGGCTCCGGCGCCGGCTGCGGCTTCTTGAGCCCCATCTCCTGCTGGATGTCTGAATCCTGCCTATCCTCCTCCAAAAGCACCTCGCTGCAGATAAAGATCCAGTCTTTTCGCCAATTATTTTCGACGAACCTTTATGAGTGAGGGTCTGAAGGTGCGGCGGGCACTGTTTCCTTTCTTCTTGCTAAAGAAGAAGAAGAGTACTACTACTAACGATGGGCCGATATATTAGTTAAAGGGCCTCCGGGCTATGGTAAGGCCCAAATGGATACAAAAATATGTCCCTTTTTAGGCCGTTTGGATGATTAGACGGTCAAGCATCCGGCCCTTGTCCGTGGGAGCTCCTATTCGACGCGTTTTGCGTCCAACAGCCGAGCAAACGCACAGACGGCGCTATGCTGGGCTGGCCCATTTGCGGGTGAGGTAGCAAACGGCGCAAACAGAAAATCCCGCAAAAAGGTAAGCGCTAGCTAGGGACCGAACTCGAGCCCTCCGGCTCATAACCGCACGTAGCTAGCCACAAGACATAACGTCAGTTGTTGTCTCGTTCACAACCCGAAATATTCAAGAAATGACGTTTGGGCCAGATTCTGAAACATTTTTTGAAAATTCAAAATACGAACATTTTTGTACAGTAGCGCCCGGAACTATAGCTGCCTTTTTCTAACTCCGAACAATTTTCCAATTTTGCAAAAAAATTCTGAATTTTGAACAAAAATTGAAACAGGAACATTTTTTGAACTTCTGAACAAATTTTGAATAGCAAGATTTTTTTAAATTTCTGAACAAAATTTGAAAAAGGGAACATTTTTCGTAAAAGCACGAACATTTTTAAAAATTGTGAACTAAAATTGAAAACAGGAACAATTTTCGAACTTCTAAACAATTTTTGAATAGCAGGAACTTTTTTTAAATTCCCGAACAATTTTTGAATTTATGAAAAAAATTGAAAACGGGAACATTTTTCGTAAAAGCGCGAACATTTTTTAAATTGCTACCAAAATTGAAAACAGTAACATTTTTCAAACTTCTGCACAATTTTTGAAAAACCACAAACATTTTTTGAAAAGCGAACAATTTTTGAATTGCTGAACAAAATTCGAAAGCGGAAACATTTTGTTAATTTATAAACAATTTATGATAAATGCAAACATTTTTTGACATTTACGAACATTTTTTCAAAAACACAAACATTTTAAAAAGGTAAACTTAAAAAAAATAAAACAAAAAAGGGAAAAAAAGGAAAAAAGGAAGAAGAAAAAAGGAGAAAAAAGAAACAGGAAAAAAGAAAAAGAAAAAAAACGAAAAGAAAACAGAAAAAGAAGAAAGAAAAATGAAAATAGAAAACCACATAAGGGACCTTCTAGAAGGTTCTGAAAACCGATAAAAACCGGCAGGGAAACTTCTAGAAAGTTCCCAAAACCGGAACTGCCTACAGTGGGAGATGGGCCGGCCCAGCTGATCGCTCCCCTATGCGATTGGGCGACTGCTTGACGCAGAGAGCGTCAAATAGGATTTTCCCTTGGCCGTCATTCTCTGGCTATCGCACGCAACGGGCGGTCCATTTGGCCTTCCCTGTTCGTTCTTTTATTAATTCAAATTATTTTGTCCATTCTATACATTTTTTATTTGAATAAATAAAATATTGCATGGAGTTACAAAAATAAGTCACATAGTTTACAATCAAATAAATAAAAATCACATAATTTACAACCAAATAAATTTAAAATTGTAGCAATTAAATTGGAAGAAAATGAGAAGATAGAACTATTGGTTTTCTATATGTGAGTTGACATATGTTCAACCAAACCATTTTAAAGTTGAACGTGAGTTGCTCGATCACACATTTCATGATGAACTTGTAGGAACTATTCAAACATTGCCAAGTGGACCCTCGGGCTCAACCAAATAACCCTGATACTCCTACCCTTGTTCATAAATTCTATCATCACGGTCATCCTCCACAATTATGTTGTGCATGATCACACAAGCGGTCATCACTTGTAACACAATGTCAATGCTCCATGTTCTAGCAGGGTGTCGAAAAATAGCCCAGCGATATTGGAGCACACTAAGAACACTTTACATTCTTCCTAGCACGCTCTCTTGTTCTTTGGCTTCCCTAGCTCTCTTCTCACCTCGGGGATTGGAAATTGTCTTCACAGATGTAGACCACAGAGGATAGATACTATCAGCTAGCTAGTATCCCTTGTTGTATGGATGACAACTGATCTCATAGCTGACCTTTGGGAAATTGCCTTCCGGAAATTTCAAGAACATCGGAGAGCGCTGAAGCACGTTGATGTCATTTTTGCCATGCCGAAAAAAGAGTGCCAAATCAAAAGATCTTGTACTGCCACAACTTTAAGTATGATCGTGCACTCTCCAACATGTCCCTTATATTGCCCCTGCCAAGGACAGTTCTTCCGCGCCCCGGTGCAAACAATCTATGCTTCTAAACATCCCCGAAAAGCCTCTCGAAGCATTGATTGATAACAATCAGTCTATATATTTAGCGTTGATTAGTCCCTTTCAAGGTTGTCAGAATCGTGATTTTGAATCGGATCGGAGCTCCGATGGTAGGATCGCAAATCGTATAATCTTCACTATATCAGGATCGTAGAAACATAGATTCTATGAACTAAAATCGTAGAATCATAGGGGCTAGTTTGGATCGTAAAGTCGTAGAATCGTATAACAGAATCGTGATTCTGACTACCCCTTTAGTGATCCGATAAAGGAGTAGAAAGGAATATCGCTTTTTTCCTCATGGCTTAGTCTGTCTAGGGTTTAGCTCATGAGTCATGACCCCCACTGCCAGCCCATTGCATACCAGTCTCCACATGTAAACATTAACCTTATTTGGAACATTTGCACTACATAGGTTCAGCCAACATTCGCGGTTTGCCATCCATCGGGAGGGCAGGGCATATACAATATAATTAAAGTGGATGTGATGAACCAACCTGTGGTTGGATAGTTAGGAGGACAGTGGTATCCCCAACCCATTAGGGTTCAAGTTCTATAATTGGCATATCGGTGCTTGCATTTCCCTGAATTTATTTCATACTTTTCAGCGAAGTTCATTCAATAAGAGGAGACGTTCCCTCGACTACAAGGCATCTGTGGTGACTTCGTCAATCTCAAAATGTTGTGTTTGCTCAGTATCTCGGAGGTGCTCATAGGGGTAGGGTGTGCATGCATTTGTTCATAGGGATGAGTGTAGGTACGATTGTATTGTGTTTAACAATAAATAAAGTAAATGTGTGTATGCATATGTTAGTATAATTCTATATTTTGAAATTACTCCCTACCATAATATAGTGCATATAGATTTTTTTGAAAAGTCAAACTTACAAACTTTGACCAAGTTTATAGAAAAAATATTTATATATACAAGACCAAATATATACAATATGAAAGTATGTGTTGTGATGTATCTAAGGACATGTATTTGGTATTCCAGATGTATATGTTTTCTTCTACAAACTTGGTCAAAGTTTGTAAAATTTGACTTTCTAAAAAATCTATATGCACTACATTGTGGAACGGAGGGAGTACTTAGCAATAAAAAAACTATTATTGGGGCTAAATTATACACTCAACATATTATTTCAGCTAATATACATTGTAATTACATAAATAATATCAAATTAGTGTTTACACAACATGTTCAATTTATCGGGGTATTTCAGACTTTCAGCACTAGCTATAGACACACCATCCATCCTAAAATTAATTCTCAAATAGAATTTTTGGCTTTCTTAGCTTTTACTAGCCCAAGCCGCTTCTCATCTTCTACCAGTTCCAGTTGTTTCTCATTCAGTCGCAACTCAAACAAACAAGGTCTTGGTCGTGCTCCTCGGCCTAGAGTGCCCAATGCGCCCGATATAGAGTACTTGGTGGATCTTTTGGACATCTGTCCTCTTTTATTGATTTTTTAAAAAACGGAGACAAAAGATTTGCCTCATCCATTCAATAAGAAGAATAATAGAGTTTATTTGAGTTACAATACACTCCAAAAATACAAAACATATTACTCCCCTGGTAAGATGGATTTCAACTTTTTGCTCCCGCGGATATCCAATGAGTCACCTCCCCTTTGATGATGCCGAGGAGAGCTAAGGGCGGTGCACTTTTGTGGTGAAAGACACGAGCGTTTCTTTCACACCCCCACCCTCCCCCCAAACGACCCAAGAGGTTAACATTGGAAGCAATGTCTTGACACTTCTGTTGGGGATGGTGCCTTTGATGGACACGTGGCTCCATTGTTAATGCAATGGAGCCGGGCGTGAGCCCTTTCCCTCTAAAATTCTTCTGTTGGGGATATTGCAATCTGTAAGACAAATCCACCAGTCCTTGGTGGAGCGGAACATCGCCAGGAAGACATGACGATGCAGTCAGCTGAAGCCAAGTTTTGAGCATGTCCCAGAGTCTAGCGCTTGCGTAGAGGGCAAAGGCCATAGTTTGGCCATCATCTCTTGGCCAACCTATCTACAGTTCATTTCCCCAAAGAATTTCACTTTTGATCAGGACCAAGCTTTCCAACTCATGCTCCATACTTTCATCGGAGAGTGAATCAAGTCAAGAAATTGCGCCTTGTAGGCAAGCTCCGCAGAATAGAGACCAGTGTCATTGGAGAAAAGAGATGCATACGTGCACCGGGAGGTTACGTGCCTCCATCCGCCGTTGGTCTTATTGGAGATCCGAGTGCATGCAAATCCCCTTTTTTTCCATGCATGCTGATCACTTTTGGTGCTGGCAGCTTTTGACAGAGGTCTAGAGGCAAATAACATAGACCTACAAAATGCTTTTTCATGTGATTTGAAAGTTTGAAATCATTTTATCTCATGAACCAAAAACTCGATTTAATTTTCGTTTACGTATATACATTCCCGATGATGAGGACCTTTAAACAAGATCACTCTTGAATATATTTTGATAAGTTTTAAAGTTTGACAATGGTACACAATGAATTACAATAAAACTAACGATTAACACCCTATGGCACATTACGAATTTATGATACACCATGAAACATCCTATACAACTTTGCAGTTTCATGGGTTTAGCCTTTATAGTTTCATCAAGTTTCATTAGGTTTCAAAATTTGTATTTAAAAATTTATGAAAATATGTTCATGTTTGGTCTTGTTTAAAAGATCTCCTTACTAGACCCGCAAATATTTAAACATACCAGAAATCAAAATTTTCTTCCGAAAGATATGTGGTTTTAAAATTTCAGACCCAACATAAAATGCATGGGTTAATATGAGGAGAAAAAAAATCAGGTAGGGTCATAGGTTGGAGTTGGTGCATTGACTAGACACTATATTAAAGAATAAAGTGAATGACATGCATGCACGGGAGATAAACCATTCTCATTATCATTGTGCTTCCATAGAATAATGCGATGCCCGGCGCACAGTTTGGGTCAAAAATTTCATTTCTTTCACGGCGTACAGAACTGTTAGTCTCAGGCTCGGACGGGAACATTTGGTTCATGGGTGTATATACACCTATATGAAAAAATAAATTTGCAGTTCAGTAAAAAGTTAAAAAATCTGAAAATATTTTTAAATAAACTTGACCTTCTATAATACTTGTGAGAAAAATTTCATAAAATAAAATCACTCTTTGACTTCGTTTGAAAAAGGAAAATTCGAAAAAAGATAAATTTTCGGTCAAAATAGTGTGAATAGTGACCTATAATAGCAAATAAATTTTATCTTTTTGCCATGAAGTCAATGTTGGTTTTTTTTCTGAAAAATTTATATACTAGTGCAAACAAAATCAAGTTTAATCTAAAAAAATTTGAACTATTTTGACTTTTTATTTAATTATTTAAAAAAATCTCTATATAGGATGTATATACAACCAGGAACCAAAGTGTATTTCCCGCTCTGTCAACTGCTATAATTGGAGGTGGTTGATGGGCTGATCCACTGGTTCATCACGGAGTCAGGCGACCCGTCTCTGCTCTTCTTCACCAACACCGCGCCATCCGTAATCCTCTGGTGCGCCTGTCTGAGCACGTCCAGCACCTCGCCGATGGACGGCCGCACGTCCTGCTCCGGCTGCAGGCACCGGAACGCCACCTCGGCGACCATGTCGATCGTCCCCTTCGTCTCGCTCGCTGACGACCCGTACCCGAGCCGCGGGTCGACCAGCCGTTCGATCTCGCAGCACTGTATCATGCGCACGGCCATGCATGCCAGGTTCACGTCGGTGCCGGCCTGGGCCATGTCCACCGCAGGCCTTGAGGACACCAGCTCGACGAGGACCACGCCGAAGCTGTACACGTCGCTCTTGTCCGTGAGCTGGTACCGGCGTTGGTACGCCGGGTCGACGTACCCGGGGGTGCCCTGCGGCGCCGTGGACACGTGCTGCGTGGCGCCGTCGGCCGGGAACAACCGGGACAGCCCGAAGTCGGCCACCTTGACGTGGAACCCGTCGTCCAGCAGGATGTTGGTCGTCTTCACGTCCCGGTGCAGGACCTGGTGCGCGTGGAGGTAGACCAGCGCGGCGGCCGTCTCGACGGCGATGCCAAGGCGGGTCGGCCACGGGAGGAGGAGGGGGTCTTCCTTGCCGTGGTGGAGGTGGTCGGCGAGCGTGCCATTGGGGACGAACTCGTAGACGAGAAGGAGGTCGCGGCAGGTCGGCGAGGAGGAGGTGCAGCCGTAGAGCGCGACGAGGTTGGGGTGGCGCAGCCGCGAGAGGATGTCCACCTCGTTGGCGAACTGCTCCACGCCCTTGTAGCTGTTCTTGTACAGCCGCTTCACCGCCACCACGCTCCCGTCCCGGAGAACCCCTGCACAAACTTTGAAGTCTGAACAATCCAACAGTGGCTATGCTCGCGTGTGGCTACACTATATACCTTTGTAGACTGTGCCGAAGCCGCCGGCGCCGAGCTCGTTGGCGTTGCCGAAGCCGTCGGTGGCCGCGTCGAGCTCCTCGTAGGTGAAGATGTGGGTGCACGGCGAGCCGGCGAGGTTGAACTCCTTCCGGAGCGATGCCAGCGGCGATCCTTCACGGATGAGGCCGTCCATTGACGCAGACCGTTTCTTGTTCTTGGCTCGGTTGAGTTGTATGAGATGGCACACGAGTCCCAGTACGATGACAAACAGAACAGCACTTGTGATTCCTGAAGGCATAGTGAGCAACCAAGATTTCTACATGAAGTCATCAACATTTTGGCGGGGCTATAAAGTTAGGAACCCTAATAAGTCCCGAACATTTGGATTTTTTCCATGGAAAATCAATAACAACTTTAGTTGACGCTAGAATGACAAGTTTAGTCGGTAAGCATGCCAATTTTGTTCTGTCAAAACACAAACAAAGAATTTTGCGAGGCCAGGGCAGCCTTAAAGTATGTCATGCTTACAAACTAAATTTGCCATCCTCGCGTCAACTAAAGTTGTCATAAAAACGTTTGATTTGCCTTGTGCAAAATTCAAACGTTCTGAATTTATCATTTCTGTAAAGTTATCAATACCTGTGACATACTTTATTCCAACATCCTTTGCACTTGTATCTGTATCTGTATGCGGAAGGTCAAATGAAGAAGAATCAGGACATTTGAATAGCAGTAATGCAATATGTAAATCAAGAAACATAGAAGGAATACAACCTTAATTGTAAAGACTAGCTAGTGACAAATATCGTATCTCATTCATGGTATATGTTTCTATGAGACATATTTTGATTTGTTAAAGGGATCCCTTTAAGGCTGTGAGGATACGCAAAATATATAAAGGTTGTGAGCAACAATTACTTGATTCACAAAAAAGAAGCAAAAATTACTTCATTAGTACATAATTATATTTGTATTCAAAATTCGCTAAAAAGTCATGTCCCATCTGCAGTGACAACAACAAACAATTGTTTTTTGATGAAAAGGCTAACGATATGATGACCCATGAGTAGTGATGGTGTACCATTGATGGGTTGCGACATACCACTGACGAGCCATATATGTGACCCATTAGCACTCTGCAGTTTACGAGCCAAGGACGTATCTAAAAAGTTAGAATGCCTACTACCCTTGATAGTGGTCGTCATGTGTGGCTCATCGATCCTTCGGATCATCTTTGTATCCCTTTAAACTTTGACACATGAAATAAAGCGTGGTGTTTTTCTAAAAAAATCAGAAAAGTTGTTAGCCGGTACGCTAATTCTATCCCCAGGTCGATGGCGAAAGGACGATGTGCCAAGAGCTATCGTCCTTGCCGTGTTCGGGATTTTGTATATGAATTTTCAATTATTTTTGAAACACTTGGATCAATTGAACCCGAGCTCCAAATCTCTGTTCTGGCACATATAGCATCGGATTTTTTCACCAACTTGTTTACAATATATTTATCATTAATGTTTACATGCATTGATCTTGGGATGCAAATTGATGGATGTTAGGGTACCGTCTTTGGGGATTTTTAGTTCATTTGATTGATCTACTAGTTACGATTAGAGGGTACCCTTTAGGTTGCCCATATGCGTGCCTACATTTGTACAAAATTTATTAGTCAAAGTTTCATATTAGAGACTATGCAAAGTCAGAAAGGAAAACTATTTTGAAATGGAATGAGTTAAATTCTAGAAAAAATTGATTGTGGATACATATTTCCTGACAAATCTAATAATATGAATTTTTCCGGATTAATGATGCTTTTTATAGCGATGATGATCAAATCTAAACATGCTTGACAAATGCAAACTGTATAACTTCTTATGTTACCGGGAAGAGTACATAACTTCACAATGTGTGGGTACCATTTCCAGTTGAAGCGCACTCGAATATGAATAAATTTAGGCACCTAAATTTGGAGTGATTAGAAAGACTGATTAGGATATTAGACTCTAAATTTCTTCACCATGAAATTAAAAACATTTTGTCAAATTAACTACGTTGATGATGGCCGTACGTCTCATGACAGTGATAGATAGTTAACCGGTCAGAGCAAACTGTGAAATATTATTACCTGCTGACCAAAAGTTTGGCTGTCATTATCAAAACTCTTTGGATAACCCTTGTCATGTCATGTCGAGTAATCTCCTTAATGCTTTGAGTAGTAAATTAAGGCGGAGAACCATCAATAAAGAAATGGCAGTATTCACTGATGTGACATGCAAGAAGAAAAAAGCTACAAAAGCCAAAAGATGAAGGCTGCACTGTGCACAAGGGACACGGCAAATTGAACTGCCATGTGTGGTAGGTTGGCTGCCGTTTTCCTCACGTCGAAGGTTTTGGTAGGAAATATCAAACAGAATGAGCTGTCATGTGCATCCTTTCATGGAAGACTTGGGGAGAAGACTTGCAGATCAGGTTCCCTTCATACTAGGGGCAGACCGGCTGAGTCAGCTGACCCCACAATCCACTTTCTCCCTGGATCTTAGTTGAATTTTAGTGAATTTAGCCCGGTTGCTTTCTGAGTTTCCACTCTGAAGAATAAGTATCGTCCATTTTCATCTTTTAACTGCCCACAAAGTTTATTGTTGGCTTTAGGAAAGGCTGTGATCTAGCTCTCTCTCATCTAGATGAGAGTTAACCTAATCTCATCTAGCTGTCAGCATTGTTTTTTCTTTTTTGCTGTTTTCTTGTTTTTTCACTTATTTTTTTCTTGATTGTTATTTGGGTGGGGTGGGGATAAGAGGATAATTGGTTTGATGCCAGCATTTGGCGTTGCCCATACTTAAAAAAAACATTAAAAAATGTAAAGCAATCAAAAGTTTTAAAAAAAGTTCGCACCAATCTTCACGTAAAATCAAATAGCATAGGAGTTAGATAAGATTTTGTTATTCATTTTCAAAGAACACCAAATCACAAGTCTAACGCAAAGGTTGGACTAATAAATTGACAGGTTGAATGGTCATTTAAGAAAACGACATTTGCATCACAAATTCACAATCGACTACACAACTTTGACAGTGATAGCATGAGTGGCTGCTACCCATAGACGGTCAGACCATAGATTTGCATTGTACAATGAGGTTAGCCCTATGAACGTGTGGCTGAATTATATATAAACCAATTTGCCATGACCGAAGTTATTCAAAGGCACGCAGTCCAAGTTCACGAATTGACCATTTCAGTATCTAACTTAAATTAAGTGATGACATGGTGCATAAGACATCTCCATGCAGTACTGTAATGTACTCCCTCCGTTCCATAATATAAAACGTTTTTTAACACTACACTAGTGTCAGAAAACGTCTATTATGAGACGGACGGAGTATTACTCTTACTGATTCTGAGAATAATCTGTGCAAGTTAAGAAAGAAAACGATCTTGAGTTACCTGGAGGAGTTGGTGAGCTGGGTTGGGTGGAATTGGGGCAGAGCTTCCCGTCGGGGCCGCAGACGCACTTGAACGAGAACTGATCGAACCTGCACTCCCCGCAGCTCATCTGTCTGCATCGGTCGCAGTCTCCCAGCACCGGCGGCAGCTTCAGGAGGAATCCATCCCTGATCAGCCGCACGTAGTCGTAGTGCAGCTGAGCTGGCTCCATTCCTCGGCGCACCGGCACGCTCACCGAGCTACAGTTGGTGGAAACCCCCTGCGGTGGCGTGCCGCCTTCGCCGGCGCCCCAGCTGCGCTTCGAGATGTACGCCCCCATCGTGTGGTTGGCGCACTTCCGCCGCAGCAAGAACTCAGCGGGCACGGCGCAGTTGTAGAAGAACACGAGGCGCTTGTTGGTGGCGCTGATGTTGAACGGGAAGAGGGCGAGGCTGGCCGTCACGTTGAAGTCGGGGACGGGGCAGCCGGTGTCGCCGGCGAAGGCTGTCTGCACGGCGGCCACCATGGAGTTGTCCGCGTAGGAGATGTTGTCGACGCGGAACAGGTGCTCCCTGAACGTGTTGCTCAGGTAGGCGGGGCCGGTGCCGGCCTCGCAGGTGAGGTCCAAGGGCGGGTAGCCGCAGTAGAGCGGCTGCACGCCGGCGAGGGAGAAGGGGTACCTGATGGTGAGGTCCCCGCATGACTCCGGCGCGCAGCTCCCGTTGCTGCCGGTGCTGGATGCAGCCGTGCGCAGGAAGGAGGCGAGCGGGAGAAGAAGCAGCTGCAGCGACAGCATGGACATGGTTTGCGACGAGCACGCGCGCAGTTGGACCGTGGAGCTTGTCACATACTACTACTACTTGACTACTTGTGAGGCATGAAGTGGATGGTGTCGGTACGCTGGTACATGGTCTTTGACTGGTATTGCTTCCGGTTTTCGTTACGCAAGTCCCCATCGCATCTTCGTCGCAGCAACGGCATCGCGGTTTTCTCCGCCACAGGCTAGAGAGCAAGGCTTCTTTATTTTTTTTCCAAAAAAACTTCCAATCTATTCATCCTCACCTCAATCATGACTCGAGAGCAAGGCTTTATGCACATCTAGATGATTATGGCTGCCAAGCTAAAATCTGCAATATGGGTTACATACAACATTTAAAAAAATGTTAAACAAGCATTTAAAAATTATCAAATGTGTATAGGAAAAATGTTTCACACGTATGTACAAAAAGTAAAGCATTTATTTATATACTAGTAAATTTTACGTGGTTTGCACGTCATTTAAATATATAAAAGCATCGGAGAATACATATGAATATGTATTTCCTTTCGTAGAATCACATTGGACAAGATCTAACTTAGTTCTTACTTCTCTAGAATCCAGATTATTCTAGCCTTTTTATTATTAGAGTATCAGATAAACATATGAAAAGAAAATATATTTCTAGAACACGTGACATGGTAGAGTCGGCCACGTGGAAGAATACTATGAGTTGAAAACTTTATCAAACGGATGATAATTCTCGGATTTGCCATCTCGCGGCCATTGGATGGAGCATATCCAACGGCTAATATTTGAAGCTATTGGCACACTATATAGTGGTATAGAAAATGTTAATAAAGCATTTGAAAAATGTTAAATGTGTATAGGAAAAAAGTTTGTTATATATAAAAAACCAATGTGTATGAAAAAAGGTTGATCAAGTATTTTAAAAATGTTAAACGCGTATATAAAATGTTCTTGGTGTATATGAAAAATGTACAATGTACATTAAAATAAAATAGACAACAAAATACATATATTTGAAATAAGTTTATTCAGTATTCAAAAAATGTTAAACACATATATGAAATGTTCCTAACGTATGTGAAAAGTATACATTCCGTGTGAAAACATATTGTAGCCATTAGAAAAAATCACTGTGTATTGATTTTTTTTACCATGTATTCGAAAGCAGGGACAGAGGTGAGATTTGCACTTATAGGAGAGGGACGCATCAAACCGCACATGGTTCAAAGCCGGAGAGGTGCCATCATCTGAGACCCTCCTGAAAGAAGAACTCCTCGCTGCTGCACTTAGACCAACGAAGAGGAAGGCATCAAACCACGTGAGGATCGGACTGAAGCTGGATCCACACCATCACCGTTGCCCCTTTGCTACTACTGCACTGCAACCACCAAGAGAGGAGGGCATCACCCGTGGCAGGCTAGAGACGGGGCGCGTGTGCATCGGTGTCAAACGATACCACCCCTACCATGGATGGCCGCGGCAAACCCCCCGCCGCCGCCCTTGGGAGATCTGACCCTAAAGCACCGGCTCGAGGCAAAAACGTAGCCAGTGCCGCGACGACGATGGGCCGCAGGTGCAGCTCCTCCTCCTGATGCCCTTATCATGCCAGGTCGGTGGCCGTAGTAGGGTTGCCTTCGTCGCTGGCAACCTCCTCCACCACCTTCACTCATCTGCACACATCCTCCATGCCCGCAACCTCCTCAACGACAGACGAGGCTCCCCCATCTTTGAGCCTCTTCGCCGGTGGTCCTACTCCTTTCCGTGTCCTCTCAGCCTTCGCCGACCGAGCAACCGAAATAATGAGAGGGGGGGGGGGGGAGGAGATAAGGGAAGGAGTGATGTTGACATTCGGCGCAGGTTGGCTCTAGCGAACGATTCCAAAACCATGACGTGGCTCTCGATGTGTGTCAAGATTCATGCCGTTTGATCGGGCGATACACAAAATATTCAATGGGATCCCCTCGAGGGAAGGTTCGCCAACTATCATTCCGTTTTTATGTGCTTCCTTTTAAAAAGACCCACCAACTTTAGAAACGACCATCTGTTTTCTCTAGATTTAGAATGTTCCGTGAAAAAATGTTCATGAATTTTAAAAAGGTTAAAAAGCTGAAAAAATATTCATGAATTTTAAATATCTTAAAAAAAGTACTTAATTTTCTTAAAAAACATGAATTTAGAAAATGAAAAAGGATGAAAAACTAAAAAAACTGATCAAACTAAGTAAATCCGGCATTAAAACACAAAGCAGAAAAAACTGGGGAAACCACCAGGTTAGAAGATTCCAAAATGTTCCCCAAACCACTACTCTGTGAAATGATTACATTGGCCGGCCCATATAAGAACACTATGGGTGCGGATAGCGAACTATTTAGAAACTTTTTGATCCACTGACTAGCAAGGAGGGGAGGGAATATGTCTCGCCCGCAGCAAGATGCAGCGAGAGCTCGCCTCTAGGGGCACAGTACTGGCCTCGCCATTTAGTCGCTATGAACAGTAGTTCGTTTTTTTTCTTTCGTTTTTTCTTTTATTATTTTCTATTCCAAAATAAATAAATTAACACACTTCAAAACTAATTTATTTATATTTTTAAAAAATTCATACCATCCAAAAATATTATTCATGACATTTAGAAACTGTTCCCCAAGTTAAAAAAAATGTCTGTCACATTTTTAAAAATATATACAATATAAACATATGTTCACGTAGTCTAAAAGAAATGTTTCATACCATTCACCAAAATGTACGTGACAATTAAAAACTGTGTTCACAAGATTTCAAAAATGTATTTTTGATTTTTTAATATGTATATACAATGTACAAAAGTGTTCACGTCATTGAAAATTTTCCTTCATACAATTCAATATATATATATATGACATTCAAGAAAATGTTCAAACATTTGCACACCGGCACAGTCTGGCCAAACTGACCCCAACAATTTGGATGTACAATAAAACATCTAGAGCGAACTTGAGGTGGGATCTTCAGCCTGCCGACATGGGTCATTGTGCAAATGCACGGAGAGCCACAACTGATATAGTGTTGTACTGACCACATCTCAAAGCACAACGGTCGTTCAGCGCACCTGCTATGTGTGGATACACCCAACGTATGACAACATCGTCCACGCTGCACTTCCATTCACATCAGCCGCCGCCATGCGCTGGTTGCAGCTCTTCGTACTTGATACACATCACCGACATGTCAAGTGTGGCTGTCTCCGCATGGCCTATTATCGGTGTTGCCCTCTACATTTTGTGCATCGCACCGCCATTCTCGGAGATGGAGATAGCACCGCACCTCCCCGATAGATTAGAGCGGGGAATACTAAGTACTTTGGGTACTTATCTCAATTACGGACAACTAGCAAATATGCCCGTGCGTTGCAACGGGAGACAAAAAATTATGGCTCACCAAATAAGTATGACTCAATATCCCGATGTATAAGATTTTAACATAGTGGCTCACCATGTTGTCATTTATTTATTTTTCTCACCGTAGCCGATGATGGTCGCGATGTCCACATGATCACATTGCATTCCGCGGTACTTATCATTATGTTGCGCAAGGGAACGTTTAAAACTTTAAAAACAAATCTCATTGACCACGAACTACTCCCAACGCCAAGATATATAAACACTTTTGGAAAACTAATCAAATCATAGACATAAAATACTTTTGAATGAGTGAACAATTTTTTGAAACGACAATTTTGTTTTGAAATTTTTGATTTTCTCAAAAAAAATCATGAACATTAGTTTTGTTTACAATTTTTTTAAATGTATGAACCAGTTTCGAATTCATTAACATTTTTTGACTCAACCAACATTTTTTGAATCGACGAACTTTTTAAAAAAATTGGGGAACAAATTTTAGAAAACAAAGTTTTATTTTTATTTTTGTGAATGGACATTCTTTTCAGATTCCCGAACATGTTTTGAATACACGGTCATTTTTTCAAAATCATGAACATGATTTTATTTCCCAACCATTTTTTCCAAATTTTTATTTTTTTATAATTTTGTGAACAGTTTTGCAAAAATACCAACATTTTTTGAATCTGCAAAATTTTTATGATTTTCTAAAAAAATTTGAATTCACATATATTTTTATGATTTCTCAAAATTTTTTTTGAAAACTTGCAACTTTTAAAATATTAAAATCCCGAATTAATTTAAATAAGAAATAAGGAAGAAAACAAAATGATAAAATAAAAGACAAAAAAGTTAAAAAAAAACAGGGAAGTAAAGCCCTGCACATGAGCCGGCCCATGGATGCATACATGGGTAGGACATGCGTGAGAAAAGAAAAATAAAATTGTGGAAGCTGGGATTCAAACCATGGTTTCGTCGCTACGGCAGCGATCAGCCGACCACTCTGCTGCGCGTCGATATATGACTTATTCTCGTCGCGCCGCTATATGACCACGAAGGAGGCGGTGATTTTTGGTCCAAAAACTTGAATCATTTTTCCCACTTATGGGTGGCATTGGTGGGTAATTTTTTTCAACTTAAAGGGTAATTTTAATGACGGACGACCAGAAGCGATAGCTATAAGAAAATAGGCTAAGCGTTTGATGATCTCATCAGGAACGCATTCGTGTTAATATATATAGCACAAGATACATGAGAGTTTGAGGAGGTTGTTGAAGTCTTGGCCCCTAATCCAAGCTATACTAGAGATAAGGCCGGCTACAACAACCTCCCTCGGTTACAATGTTATCCTATTACAGCCGAACATACACATGTACGTACATACGCGTTGACACGCTACAATCTATCTTTTAACATCCTCCCTCAATCTTAACATGTCAAGGTTGAGATTGTTCTTAAAAGCTTGAAGCTGTCGAACTTGTAGTGGTTTAGTAAACCCATCTGCAACTTGATCTCCGGTTGGAATGAACCTGATCTCCAAAAGCTTCCGTGCAACTCTTTCATAAACAAAGTGAAAATCAATTTCTATGTGCTTTGTCCTGGCATGAAATACAGGATTCGCAGACAGATATGTTGCTCCAA